CACATAAGGGTCCAGGACGGATAGAAACGTCGTCACATAAGGGTCCAAGACGGACCGAAACGTTGTCACAAAAGGGTCCAGGACGGACAGAAACGTCGTCACATAAGGGTCCTGGACGGACAGAAACGTCGTCACATAAGGGTCCAGGACGGACAGAAACGTCGTCACATAAGGGTCCAGGACGGACAGAAACGTCGTCACATAAGGGTCCAGGACGGACAGAAACGTCGTCACATAAGGGTCCAGGACGGACAGAAACGTCGCCACATAAGGGGTCCAGGACGGACAGAAACGAGCAATAAAGGCCAAATTAGGATATAATGAGTATGAACTTCGACAGTAATGGAAGACAAACTTCACAAGCAACCACTGCTCACACCCGTTGAATGACAGTCGAGAGGCGGGACCAAAGAGCCGAAGCTCAACCCCATCATGCATAACTCTTCCTGCCAATCAGAGTAGTGTTCGCACTCAGTAAATGTCTCCCTATCAGAGTATACAGATTGATGAGTGATATCATCTCCCCCCAGCATCAATACAGCCCCCCCCAGATCTGAAGCATCAATGCAGCCCCCCCAGATCTGAAGCATCAATACAGCCTCCCCCCCAGATCTGAAGCATCAATACAGCCTCCCCCCCAGATCTGAAGCATCAATACAGCCCCCCCCCCAGATCTGAAGCATCAATACAGTCCCCCCCAGATCTGAAGCATCAATACAGCCACCCCCCAGATCTGAAGCATCAATACAGCCCCCCCCCTGATCTGAAACATCAATACAGCCTCCCCCCCAGATCTGAAGCATCAATACAGCCCTCCCCAGATCTGAAGCATCAATACAGCCCCCCCCCAGATCTGAAGCATCAATACAGCCCCCCCAGATCTGAAGCATCAATACAGCCCCCCCCAGATCTGAAGCATCAATACAGCCCCCCCCCCCCAGATCTGAAGCATCAATACAGCCCCCCCCAGATCTGAAGCATCAATACAGCCCCCCAGATCTGAAGCATCAATACAGCCCCCCCTGAAGCATCCAGATCTGAAGCATCAATACAGCCCCCCCAGATCTGAAGCATCAATACAGCCCTCCCCAGATCTGAAGCATCAATACAGCCCCCCCCAGATCTGAAGCATCAATACAGCCCCCCCCAGATCTGAAGCATCAATACAGCCAATTCCCCCCAGATCTGAAGCATCAATACAGCCCCCCCCCCCCCAGATCTGAAGCATCAATACAGCCCCCCCCAGATCTGAAGCATCAATACAGCCCCCCCCAGATCTGAAGCATCAATACAGCCCCCCCCCCAGATCTGAAGCATCAATACAGCCCCCCCCCAGATCTGAAGCATCAATACAGCCCCCCCCCAGATCTGAAGCATCAATACAGCCCCCCCCCCAGATCTGAAGCATCAATACAGCCCCCCCCAGATCTGAAGCATCAATACAGCCCCCCCAGATCTGAAGCATCAATACAGCCCCCCCCCAGATCTGAAGCATCAATACCCCCCCCAGATCTGAAGCATCAATACAGCCCCCCCAGATCTGAAGCATCAATACAGCCCCCCCCCAGATCTGAAGCATCAATACAGCCCCCCCTCAGATCTGAAGCATCAATACAGCCCCCCCCAGATCTGAAGCATCAATACAGCCCCCCCAGATCTGAAGTATCAATACAGCCCCCCCCCAGATCTGAAGCATCAATACAGCCCCCCAAGACCTGAAACATTCATACAGCCTCCCTCAGATCTGAAGCATCAATACAGCCCCCCCCAGATCTGAAGCATCAATACAGCCCCCCCCAGATCTGAAGCATCAATACAGCCCCCCCCCAGATCTGAAGCATCAATACAGCCCCCCCAGATCTGAAGCATCAATACAGCCCCCCCCCCAGATCTGAAGCATCAATACAGAAGCATCAATACAGCCCTCCCCAGATCCCCCCCCCAGATCTGAAGCATCAATACAGCCCCCCCCCAGATCTGAAGCATCAATACAGCCCCCCAGATCTGAAGCATCAATACAGCCCCCCCAGATCTGAAGCATCAATACAGCCCCCCCCAGATCTGAAGCATCAATACAGCCCCCCCCCCAGATCTGAAGCATCAATACAGCCCCCCCCCCAGATCCATCAATACAGCCCCCCCCAGATCTGAAGCATCAATACAGCAATACCCCCCCCCAGATCTGAAGCATCAATACAGCCCCCCCCCAGATCTGAAGCATCAATACAGCCCCCCCCAGATCTGAAGCATCAATACAGCCCCCCCAGATCTGAAGCATCAATATCTGAAGCATCAATACTCTCCCCCCCAGATCTGAAGCATCAATACAGCCCCCCCCAGATCTGAAGCATCAATACAGCCCCCCCCAGATCTGAAGCATCAATACAGCCCCCCCCAGATCTGAAGCATCAATACAGCCCCCCCCAGATCTGAAGCATCAATACAGCCCCCCCCCCCCCCAGATCTGAAGCATCAATACAGCCCCCCCCCAGATCTGAAGCATCAATACAGCCCCCCCCCAGATCTGAAGCATCAATACAGCCCCCCCAGATCCCCCCCCAGATCTGAAGCATCAATACAGCCCCCCCCAGATCTGAAGCATCAATACAGCCCCCCCAGATCCCAATACAGATCTGAAGCATCAATACAGCCCCCCCCAGATCTGAAGCATCAATACAGCCCCCCCCAGATCTGAAGCATCAATACAGCCCCCTCCCCAGATCTGAAGCATCAATACAGCCCCCCCCCCAGATCTGAAGCATCAATACAGCCCCCCCCCAGATCTGAAGCATCAATACAGCCCCCCCCCAGATCTGAAGCATCAATACAGCCCCCCCCCAGATCTGAAGCATCAATACAGCCTGAAGCATCAATACCCCCCCCCAGATCTGAAGCATCAATACAGCCCCCCCCAGATCTGAAGCATCAAGCAGATCTGAAGCATCAATACAGCCCCCCCCAGATCTGAAGCATCAATACAGCCTCCCCCCCCAGATCTGAAGCATCAATACAGCCCCCCTCCCCAGATCTGAAGCATCAATACAGCCCCCCCCAGATCTGAAGCATCAATACAGCCCCCCCCCAGATCTGAAGCATCAATACAGCCCCCCCCCCAGATCTGAAGCATCAATACAGCCCCCCCCAGATCTGAAGCATCAATACAGCCCCCCCCAGATCTGAAGCATCAATACAGCCCCCCCCAGATCTGAAGCATCAATACAGCCTCCCCAGATCTGAAGCATCAATACAGCCTTCCCCAGATCTGAAGCATCAATACAGCCTCCCCTCAGATCTGAAGCATCAATACAGCCCCCCCCCAGATCTGAAGCATCAATACAGCCCCCCCCCAGATCTGAAGCATCAATACAGCCTCCCCCCAGATCTGAAGCATCAATACAGCCTCCCCTCCCCAGATCTGAAGCATCAATACAGCCTCCCCTCCCCAGATCTGAAGCATCAATACAGCCCCCCCAGATCTGAAGCATCAATACAGCCTCCCTCCCCAGATCTGAAGCATCAATACAGCCTACCCCCCCCAGATCTGAAGCATCAATACAGCCCCCCCCCCAGATCTGAAGCATCAATACAGCCCCCCCCAGATCTGAAGCATCAATACAGCCCCCCCCCAGATCTGAAGCATCAATACAGCCCCCCCCAGATCTGAAGCATCAATACAGCCCCCCCCAGATCTGAAGCATCAATACAGCCCCCCCCCAGATCCCCCCCCCAGATCTGAAGCATCAATACAGCCCCCCCAGATCTGAAGCATCAATACAGCCCCCCCCAGATCTGAAGCATCAATACAGCCCCCCCCAGATCTGAAGCATCAATACAGCCTCCCCCCCAGATCTGAAGCATCAATACAGCCTCCCCCCCCAGATCTGAAACATCAATACAGCCTCCCCCCCAGATCTGAAGCATCAATACAGCCTCCCCCCCAGATCTGAAGCATCAATACAGCCCCCCCCAGATCTGAAGCATCAATACAGCCCCCCCAGATCTGAAGCATCAATACAGCCCCCCCAGATCTGAAGCATCAATACAGCCCCCCCTCCAGATCTGAAGCATCAATACAGATCTGAAGCATCCCCCCCCCAGATCTGAAGCATCAATACAGCCCCCCCAGATCTGAAGCATCAATACAGCCCCCCCCAGATCTGAAGCATCAATACAGCCTCCCCCAGATCTGAAGCATCAATACAGCCCCCCCAGATCTGAAGCATCAATACAGCCCCCCCCCAGATCTGAAGCATCAATACAGCCCCCCCCCCAGATCTGAAGCATCAATACACCCCCCCCAGATCTGAAGCATCAATACAGCCTCTCAGATCTGAAGTATCAATTCAGCCTCCGCCCCCCCAGATCTGAAGCATCAATTTATAATATAAATAACTTGGCATACACTCAGGACCCACTAATGCTAGAGCCTATGACAGCATTCCCTTTAATGTAGTCACAGCATTCAGACATTCCTGGGACCATTTGAACTTTATATTTCCGCATAATAAAATTGTTAATGTGTGCTGGAATGGCAGCAAAAATTCCTACATAACTTTCTATAATCAGTACACATAACTGTTTGTTTGTTGTCTCTTTCTTCCTCGTTACAATTTCGGACTTGACAACAGAGGATTATCACAATGGCTTACCTGTATTTACCCAGGTCTTGCCTGTATTTACCCAGGTCTTGCCTGTATTTACCCAGGTCTTGCCTGTATTTACCCAGGTCTTGCCTGTATTTACCCAGGTCTTGGCTGTATTTACCCAGGTCTTGCCTGTATTTACCCAGGTCTTGCCTGTATTTATCCAAGATTTGCCCATATTTACCCAGGTCTTTCCTGTATTTACCCAGTTCTTATCAGTATTTACTGAGGTGTTACCTGTTTTTACCCAAGACTTGCCTGTATTTACCCAGGTCTTGCCTGTATCATATCCAATTTGTATCTAGTGTTTCGAGTACTATAATGGGCAATATTTAACCCCCAGTTCCTTTCACACAGTTACGACGAGAGACCCGGGAACCGCGGGTCCGGGTGGGCGGACAGGAAGGTGTTCGGGGAGCGGGCGGACTACCACGCCCACAGCACGCCGCCCGTCCTGCTCCTCGCCCACGCCACCGTCGAGGACGGCAGATTCTACCGCTGTAGAGTTGACTTCCAGAACACCAGATCGCGGGTCGCCTGGGTCAACCTGACTGTTATTGGTGAGTGTTCTCTCTGCTGGCTGCCTGCAACCCCCCCCCCCCCCACCATCACTTCCCCACACCCACCCAAGTCTATATATTCCCCAAGATGGAAGATTTCCCATCACCAGGTTAGCACAACGTCGCCACAACGTTGCAGCAACGTCGCCACAACGTTGCAGCAACGTCGCCACAATGTTGCAGTAACGTCGCGGCAACGGCTCCACAATGTTGCTGCAACGCCGCCATAATACGGACACACTATTGTCACCACGTTGGCAAAACGTTGCAGCAACGTTGTAACAATGTAGCAGCAACAGCGTCTAAACGTTGCAACAATGTAGCAGAAACGGCGTATAAACGTTGCAACAATGTAGCAGCAACGGTGTCTAAACGTTGCAACAATGTAGCAGCAACGGCGTCTAAACGTTGCAACAATGTAGCAGCAACGGCGTCTAAACGTTGCAACAATGTAGCAGCAACGGCGTATAAACGTTGCAACAATGTAGCAGCAACGGCGTCTAAACGTTGCAACAATGTAGCAGCAACGGCGTATAAACGTTGCAACAATGTAGCAGCAACGGCGTTTAAACGTTGCAACAATGTAGCAGCAACGGCGTATAAACGTTGCAGCAACGTTGCCACACCGCTGACACACCATTGCCACCACGTTGGCGCAACGTTGCCACACCGCTGACACACCGTTGCCACCACGTTGCGGCAACGTTGTGTACACGTTGTGATGCCTGTGATCCTTGCCCATAGAGAGTTAGTGTGGCTGTAATGACCGTGAGAGTTGTGGCTAACGAGCGCTTGTTCCGTGTGTGTGTCAACAGTGCCGCCCACCAAGATGGAGGTGATCCCCCGCGTCTCTCCCGTCAAGTTGGGAGACAGGAACGACGTCATCTGCAAGTCCTATGGAGGTGGGTACTTGTGTGCTGTCTGCTGGGTTGTGTGGTGTCTGCTGGGTGGTGTGCTGTCTGCTGGGGGGTGTGCTGTCTGCTGGGTGGTGTGGTGTCTGCTGGGGGTGGGTTGTGTGGTGTCTGCTGGGGGGTGTAGTGTCTGCTGGGTTGTGTGCTGTCTGCTGGGTTGTGTGGTGTCTGCTGGGTTGTGTGGTGTCTGCTGGGTTGTGTGGTGTCTGCTGGGTTGTGTGCTGTCTGCTGGGTGGTGTGGTGTCAGCTGGGGGTGGGTTGTGTGGTGTCAGCTGGGGGTGGGTTGTGTGGTGTCTGCTGGGGGTGGGTTGTGTGGTGTCTGCTAGGGGTGGGTTGTGTGGTGTCTGCTAGGGGTGGGATGTGTGGTGTCTGCATGGGGTGGGTTGTGTGGTGTCTGCTGGGGGGGTTGTGTGGTGTCTGCCGGGGAGGAGGGTAGTGTCTGCTGGAGGGGGTTGTGTGGTGTCTGCCGGGGGGGGGGTTGTGTGGTGTCTGCTGGAGGTGGGTTGTGTAGTGTAGGGGGGGTTGTGTCGTGTCAGCTGGGGGGGGGTTGTGTAGTGTCTGCTGGGGGGGGGGGTTGTGTAGTGTCTGCTGGGGATGGGTTGTGTGGTGTCTGCTGGGGGGGGGTTGTGTAGTGTCTGCTGGTGGTGGGTTGTGTGGTGTCTGCTGGGGGGGTTGTGTAGTGTCTGCTGGGGGGGGTTGTGTGGTGTCTGCTGGGGGGGGGTTGTGTGGTGTCTGCTGGGGGTGGGTTGTGTAATGTCTGCTGGGGGGGGTTGTGTAGTGTCAGCTGGGGGGGTTAGTGGTGTCTGCTGGGGGGGGGGTTGTGTAGTGTCAGCTGGGGGGGTTAGTGGTGTCTGCTGAGGGGGGGGGTTGTGTTGTGTCTGCTGGGGGTGGGTTGTGTGGTGTCTGCTGGGGGTGAGTTGTGTGGTGTCTGCTGGGGGGGGGTTGTGTGGTGTCTGCTGGGGGGGTTGTGTTGTGTCTGCTGGGGGTAGGTTGTGTGGTGTCTGCTGGGGGGGGGTTGTGTGGTGTCTGCTGGGGGGGGGTTGTGTGGTGTCTGCTGGAGGGGCGGGTTGTGTGGTGTCTGCTGGAGGTGGCGGGTTGTGTGGTGTCTGCTGGAGGTGGGGGGTTGTGTGGTGTCTGCTGGGGGGGGGTTGTGTGGTGTCTGCTGGGGGAGGGTTGTGTGGTGTCTGCTGGGGGGGGGGTTTTGTGGTGTCTGCTAGGGAGAGGGCTGTGTGGTGTCTGCTGGAGGTGGGGGGTTGTTTGGTGTCTGCTGGATTGGGTTGTGTGGTTTCTGTGGGGGGGGGGGTTGTGTGGTGTCTGCTGGGGGGGGGGGGTTGTGTGATGTCTACTGGCGTGGGGGGGTTGTGTGGTGTCTGCTGGGGGGGGGTTGTGTGGTGTCTGCTGGGTGGGGGGTTGTGTGGTGTCTGCTGGGGGTGGGGGGTTGTGTGGTGTCTGCTGGTGGTGGGTTGTGTGGTGTCTACTGGGGTGGGGGGTTGTGTGGTGTCTGCTGGTGGTGGGTTGTGTGGTGTCTGCTGGTGGTGGGTTGTGTGGTGTCTGCTGGTGGTGGGTTGTGTGGTGTCTGCTGGGGTGGGGGGTTGTGTGGTGTCTGCTGGTGGTGGGTTGTGTGGTGTCTACTGGGGTGGGGGGTTGTGTGGTGTCTGCTGGGGGTGGGTTGTGTGGTGTCTGCTGGGGGGGGTTGTGTAGTGTCTGCTGGGGGGGGGGTTGTGTGGTGTCTGCTGGGTGGGGGGTTGTGTGGTGTCTACTGGGGGGGGGGGGGGGGTTGTGTGGTGTCTACTGGGGGGGGGGGGTTGTGTGGTGTCTGCTGGGGTGGGGGGTTGTGTGGTGTCTGCTGGGGGGGGGGTTGTGTGGTGTCTACTGGGTGGGGGGTTGTGTGGTGTCTACTGGGTGGGGGGTTGTGTGGTGTCTACTGGGGGGGGGTTGTGTAATGTCTGCTGGGGGGGGGTTGTGTGGTGTCTGCTGGGGATGGGTTGTGTGGTGTCTGCTGGGGGGGGGTTGTGTGGTGTCTGCTGGGGGGGGGGGTTGTGTGGTGTCTGCTAGTGGGGGGTTGTGTGGTGTCTGCTGGGGGGGGGGTTGTGTGGTGTCTGCTGGGGGGGGGTTGTGTGGTGTCTACTGGGGGTGGGTTGTGTGGTGTCTGCTGGGGGGGGAGGTTGTGTGGTGTCTGCTGGAGGTGGGTTGTGTGGTGTCTGCTGGGGGGGGGGTTGTGTGGTGTCTGCTGGAGGTGGGTTGTGTGGTGTCTGCTGGGGGGGGGGTTGTGTGGTGTCTGCTGGGGGTGGGTTGAGTGGTGTCTGCTGGGGGTGGGGGGTTGTGTGGTGTCTGCTGGGGGGGGGTTGTGTGGTGTCTACTGGGGTGGGGGTTGTGTGGTGTCTGCTGGTGGTGGGTTGTGTGGTGTCTGCTGGGGTGGGTTGTGTGGTGTCTGCTGGTGGTGGGTTGTGTGGTGTCTGCTGGTGGTGGGTTGTGTGGTGTCTGCTGGTGGGGGGTTGTGTGGTGTCTGCTGGTGGTGGGTTGTGTGGTGTCTGCTGGGGGGGGTGTTGTGTGGTGTCTACTGGGGGGGGGGTGTGTGGTGTCTGCTGGGGGGGGTGTGGTGTCTGCTGGGGGGGGTGTGTGGTGTCTGCTGGGGGGGGTGTGGTGTCTGCTGGGGGGGGGGGGTGTCTGCTGGGGGGGGGGTGTGGTGTCTGCTGGAGCTGGGTTTGGACACCACTACTTTGAGGAAGTATTGACACAGAAAACGAATGAACAACAGAAAACGGGGAGCAACTAAATAAAAAAAACAAATGATGAATAGTTAAAAGCCGCAAAAGTTACATTAATTTAACTCGTTAATGATTGAAAATTGTATTAGTTTTACAAATAAAAAATTTAGTCATTTAAAAGTTTACATTATACGAATTTCATTTGACATTACAGGAGTAGGGGGCCATGAGCCAGATTCACGAAGTAGTTACGCAAGCATTCACGAATCTGTCCCTCTTTCCTCAATCTTTGGCGGCTTTGTTTACAATTATTAAACAGTTAATGAGCTCGGAAGCACCAGGAGGCTGTTTATAACAATAACAACAGTTGATTGGCAAGTTTTCATGCTTGTAAACTATTTAATAAATGTAACCAAAGCTGTCAAAGATTGATAAAAGATGGACAGGTTCGTGAATGCTTGCGTAACTGCTTCGTGAATCTGGCCCTAAGACTTTAGGACGTCTTAGCCACTACTCTTAGAAAGCCTCTTAACTAAGGGAGTGTTGGTTTGTAAGAGCAACTTCCTCACTTTCTACATTAATCAGTGAAAGGAGAAAATGCTGTCAGTATGACAATGAACTATACAGCTCTTGGAAGGGATAAGTGACAGACTAAGAGCTGAAATTTGACTACACAGCTCTTGGAAGGGATACCTGACAGACTAAGAGCTGAAATATGACTACACAGCTCTTGGAAGGGATACCTGACAGACTAAGAGCTGAAATATGACTACACAGCTCTTGGAAGGGATATCTGACAGACTAAGAGCTGAAATATGACTACACAGCTCTTGGAAGGGATATCTGACAGACTAAGAGCTGAAATATGACTACACAGCTCTTGGAAGGGATACCTGACAGACTAAGAGCTGAAATATGACTACACAGCTCTTGGAAGAGGGATATATAGGACTATATATGAGGATGGAATGAAGGAAAGGTGCCCCGAACCAATTGATCCATCGGGGTATCGAGCGCCGACTCTGCAGGCAGCAGGGTGGTCGCTGTACCGACCAATCACAGAGCTTGCACCATAACTATGGCGCAGGGAAACAAGGACAAAGTACTTGACGCCTAAATGGCGTCTTCTGCCAAGCTCTCCGCTGCTTCGTGAGAACACAAAATGGCTTCGTGTGACG